CCATTTCTCCCTGAAATATTCCTATCTTTGTTATTAAGAAAAAGTCTGGTAAATGGAGGTTGCTATAAGATCTTAAAACAGTAAATGGTTATATAGACATTCTACAGGGAAATCCAGATCCAAATTCCTTTCATGAGTTGACACCTCAGACAAGACAATGAATTACTTTAGTTAAAAAAAAAAGCTTGCCTCTGATCATACTCATTATATTGACTAGTCAACCACTGCTATTGATAATTTTTTCCTTTCAGCATAGTCCTAGTGGGGTTTTCTGGCAACAAGGACCCATCCTATGGGTACTTGAACATATGTCACCTGTAAAAATTGTTATAAACTTAGTTTACCTGATAAGGTTATTACACCATATACCCAGACAAAAATAACTTGGCTACAAAATTTTGCTAAAGATTGGACCTTGTTTTTATGCACTAATCTGGTGCAGGAGCATTATCTGTATTCTGTCAGTCATGTATTTTAATAAAACGCTGATTGGCCAGGCAGGAAGTATAGGCAGGTCAACCAGACAGGAAGTAGAGGTGGGGTGATGAGAACAGGAGAAGGCTAGGAAGGAGGAAGCCCATTCCTTCATTCCTGCCCAGACCACAGAGAAGCAAGATGTAACCTGCCCCCGCTGGAAAAGGTACTGAGCCACATGGCTAACACAGACGAGAATTATGGGTTACCTTAAGATGTAAGAATTAGTTAATAAGAAGACTGAGCTGATGGGCCAATCAATTTATAACCTAATGTAGACTCTGTGATTTTCTTTGGGACTTGCCAGCTGTGGGGTACTGGGCAGGACAGAAACCCCAAGAAGCCAGCCCTCATGTTACACTAATCCCTGCAAGTTTGATAATCATTATCCTTCTGATAAGTTGGTCACCTTTTTCAAAAATCATCTGGTATGCTTCCCTAAAGTTATTTCTTTACAGCCTCTGGCAGGGGCATGAAATATGTTTACTGATGGATCTTCTACTGGGAGAGCTATGGTAGCCTTCCCTCCTGATTTTGATATTCAGCCTATTAATGCTAAATCTACTCAAATGGCTAAATTGATCGCTGCACAAATGGCCTTAAAAATATGTTGATATTTCATTTAATCTTTTTACTGATAGTCAATATATAAACAAAATTCTTACACCTTTAAAAACTACAGCTTATATTGCCTCTGTATCTCGAGTCCAGATGCAATTATTGGCTATTCAAACTTTGCTTTGGGCCTGATCTGTTCTCATTTACATAGGGCATTTGCGGGCTCATACTGACCTCCCTGGTCCCTTGAGCAAGGGGAATGCATTGGCTAATCAGCTTACCTGCCAAATTTATACAGTTAGTCAAAAACCTTATAAAGCTACAAAAAAACCTCATAATCATTTTCATTTCAATGCTGGGTCTTTAAGATTTCATTTTATGATTTCTCAAAAACAAGCCACCGATATTGTTAAAAAATGATCTCTATGTACAGAACTTTTAATTGTTCCCCATTTAGGAGTTAATCCTCGTGGACTTGCTCCTAATCATTTATAACAAATGGATGTTACCCATGTTCCTTCTTTTGGGCACATACAATATGTTCACATAACCATGGATACATATTCTCATCTTATTTTTACCTCAGCTCACACAGGAGAAAAAATACGGGATGTTAAAAGTCACTGTCTCCAGGCTTTTGCCTAAATGGAAGTTCCAAAAACTGTAAAAACTGATAATGGGCCAACCTACACTAACACTGGCTTTGCTAATTTTTGCTCTGAGTTCTCCATTTCTCATAAAACAGAAATACCCTATAACCCTCAAGGACAAGCTATAATGGAGCAAGTGCATCGTACGCTCAAAGCCTATTTACATAAAACAAAAAGGGGGAATATGGTTCCACCCCCAGAGACCATTTATCTTTTATTTTATATGTTTTAAATTTTTTGACTGTTGATGCTCAATCTCATACCGCTGCTGATCGGCATTGGCGGCCAGATTCTTCCGGGATGCCTCATGTTAAATGGAAGAATCTAGCAGATGGCACCTGGTATGGTCCAGATCCTGTACTGGTATGGGGAAGAGGAGCTGTTTGTGTTTTCCCACAGGATGCTGACAGTCCAATATGGGTACCTGAGCGTCTGGTACGTGCTGTGAATTTTCCTGTTCAGAAGCCTGAAGACAGGACAGAGCCAAGAGATCCTACAGACTCGGTCAACTAAAATGTTGCTGGGATCCTGAGGAGCTGGCTATGGTGGTCCGAGTGCCAGGATTGTTCCTCTACCTATCAACCCATCCCATGATATTGGCAGCCATTGCTGTGGCTGCCAGAGTGGCTAGAGCTGCTAGATTTCCCATTAGTCAGTCAGCTGCTTCTGCTAGCACAATGGATACCCTCTCAGGACAGGTTGCAAATGCCTTGGCCATTCAAATTGAGCTAAATTTACAAATGATTTGGTTGTGTTTAATGACCTCTGCTAGGTTACAGTAAGGCTCATTGCTGTTATTCACAGACCCTGGAATGCACAAATTTCAAATTGGCTATTGATATTATTTTAGTTAACTATACCAGGGTTCCTTCTGTCAATGCTGAGACCTTACTTAAAGGGCTCCAATTTGGGCAGACTTATTAAGGATTGAGCAGGCACAGCCTCCTTAAGGAGTGCTTATATGTGCTGGAGCATCATTTTCATGTTTTCATGGCGCCAGAGTCAGAGGTAAGCTCAGGTCAATGTCACCACGTGGCGAGTCCTCTTAGCTATTGCCCTGGAGGATCTTTCAGATTTTAGCAAATCTGGCTAACTCAGTGATGGGTGACTAGTGAGCCAATGACAGGAAATTTTTTGGGGGGCTACACCAACCTAAGACAGGGGATGTGTTTTGACCTGGACTCTTTCCCATGATGGGTAAGGGGTATTGCCCGACATCCAATGCCACCTAATGACAGGCCTAGTCATATAATTTATATAAAAGGGGGCACCTGTAGGGCCTGGGTCTGCTCCTGCTCCTGGGGTGCCTCTTGAGGACAGTTTCTGCTCAGCCAGCTAAAACATTCTGTTTGTTCCTGTGCTCCCTCTGCCCCTCTTGGTGATTAGGTGTGGGGCATTGTTTCATCTTTGGTATGGTAATTTCCCACCTGCCTGGGGGGAAATCCTTGTGCAGCAGCTAGGTATATAAGTATTTCTCCAAGGTTAAATAAATGGCTTTCAGCTGATCTCCTTCGATTGACCCAGGTCTCTTGTGTGCTCTTTCAATCTCCAGGCCCTTGCCTGACTCGTGTACGGTACAGTGGTGCGCGAACTGTACCGAGGGGGTAACACAGAATCGGGTGTTACATGGAGGAATGATGCAATTTTATCTTAACTAAATTTTAAAAAGGACATGCATGCGACAGGAAATAAAAACCTGGAAACAAGCTTTTCTTTCTTCCTTTTTTATTCTTCAGTTCACTTCATGTGATTCCTAGGGCTCAGCAGTTACTCTGCAAATGCATATTTATTAGATGCAGTTAACAGAAAAAACCAGTCTGGAAATGCAACATGTGGCTGAGCATTGATCCAGTCCCCAGGAAGGAAGGGAGGGAGGAGGGCAAATTCCCCAAATCTTGAGAGAACCCTACTCCCATGTCATCCTGGAGTTGAATGTCAAGGGTTCAGAGAAACAACAGAATGCTGGAGGCTGGGCAAGGCAACACCCACATCGTTCAGAGTCATTCAAGCTGGCGGTGTGATTCAGTGTGACAAGTGTGATTCACTGAATGTGACCACAGTGGACAATGCGGCTTCACAGGAGTGAAGGGGGTGGAAGAATCAGTGTTCAGTATCAGAATGCTCTTACTGAGCCAATCAAAATGGAACTTTCAGAAAAAAAAACCCACTCAATTTCAGGGCAGATATTATTGTAAATGACTTCCATCCTTCCACATTTCTGCGTTCGATAGCTCTAAACTATTTTCCCCAGAGGACACAGGGTTTTTCGACCCCAGCTCCACGGGGCATGAACCAGGGAAACTGGTAACTGTCCCTTATCTTTTCAGGAAGCATTACCAGAAACTTCAGCCAAGCTTAATGTATCCAGAAGGTGTGGGCAGCCATGTAGACTCAGATAAGGAAAAGGCTTGGCAATAGAGCACTGGCTCATGGGTAATGCTCACACCTGTGTCATCCAAGAGTGTAATAAAGATTTTAATGGAAGCAGAACCATTCTGGCAGAAAGGCTATCAGAACTCAGAACATTTAACAACAGGGGCTCTCTATGTAACCCAGGTTGTCCACAGATTCACCAACCTCCTCCCTCAGTTTAAAGGCTGGGATTACAGGTTATACCATACACATGACTGGTCCCTGCATTTTTACAATCCCCCTTCACCTCACTGCCTTCCCACCAAGAGAGGACATAGGAACACAATGCATTTGGTGTATCCTTTAGGAATTACCAAGTCATTCAGTCTCATTAAAATGAAAAATATAATCAGCCAATGCATTATAGACTTGAAGCAGAGAGCAGAGTTCCCCTTCATTCTGCTCTAGGTCTGTAAGAAGCAGCACTACTTCCTAGCTTTCTTTTGCCTTTTAGTTAGCAATCCTGACTGTGGCTGTCCTCTAAACCTAAGAATGTGTCATTCAGTGCCCCTCTCTTAGGGCAGCTGGACCATCCAAGGCTCAGAGCAGCTGGCTGTCCAGTGGATAAGACTTCTGTCAGTCAGTCCACACAGGGCCAAGCATTTGAAAACGTTGGCAGGCACTACGGAGAGACTGAGAGTCTAACATGACGAGAAGCATGAATAAATTACATTCTGCACTCTGGGCGACAGTGCTCTGGGAAAAAGCGGGAGGCTCACTTATGTGCCTGCAGGCTCCCCCACCCACCTTTGAGTTCCCGTCCCAGCTCTTACACCCTGCACCCAAGGGACTCTCTGCAGAGGTTCCCTACCCTCCCAGCTCCCCGCTCCAGTCCTTTCCGTAACTTTGCTGTTAACCCCAGGGAGACACTGAACAAATGCTGGGGACCTAATGGCCCCTACTCACCTGTGACTCCCAAAAGGAGGAGGAAGCCCAGCAGAAGCACCATGGTGGCCGTCCAGTGGGTGGCAGTGACAGGAACTCAGCCGTTGCTCTGGGTCCCCAGCTTTCCTTGCATCTAGTTATCTATCAACGGGCACCAAGATTGTGCCATCCAATAGGGAAGGTGCATCTCACCCCTGTATCTGCTCCACCCCAACGTGAGGTTCCCAGGGCAATCTGGCACAGCTCAGGGTTAAAGGGAAATTCCCAGGGCTTCTTTTGAGCTGGATTCTTTGACCTAACCTGTTCAGTTGCCTAGAGGTTGTGCCTCTCATCCTCTCCTGGCCCCTGCCTTCCCTCCAGAAACCAAATGTAATCCATGCTGCTGCACCCATACTATTCGCCCCACTAAGTCAACCCCGTAGACATCTCCGGTCATCTGTGCCACCTTCTGCTGTTCACTGCAGAGCCTGGCCTGGGGTTCTAGGAGGTGACAGAATTGGGCAGTGGGATTCATTAGCAGTCTGAGGTAGGTGAGCTAAAGAAGACGGCATAAGATGACTTTTCTTTCGTAAAGATTCCAAACCTGCAGCTGGGACTCAGGGATTTGTTTTAAAGATTATTCTATCAGTGTTGCTGGTCAACATGAATTAGTGATTTAAAAGTGGGACTAGGCAGGGATGGCCGAAGGTATCAGATAAGGTGCAGGGTGGGAGGTGTGGGTACTCCAAGATCTTGCAGTAAAATATTCTGTCATTCAGAATTTCTTCTGTCATTCTGCTGCTCATTCTGGGTTGTTCTTCCTGCACAATGCCCACTGAACTGCAGAGAAACTCAAGGACGGTACCAGAAAAGCAGCAGCTGAGATGCAGTAGGAATAAGACCTAGGACAGGAGTGGTCACCAGATGTAGGGGAGGCCCCTACAGGTCACAGTTGCTATGAAAATCACATACACACACACACACACACACACACACACACAGAGAGAGAGAGAGAGAGAGAGAGAGAGACAGACAGACAGACAGACAGACAGACAGACAGAGACAGAGACAGAGAGACAGAAAGAGATAGAGAAAGATTGAAATTCCTGCCTGGCACATAGCAAGTAATTAAATCCTTTTTATTGGGTCAGAAAGTACAGGGAAAATTAATCAGGAAGATTAATAATTTAGTTGCAATACTGGTTGTACAGTAAGATTACGTAGAATACTTTATTTAAACCAATGGCAGAGCCACACTCCAGGACATTCTAATCTGACGTGTGTAGAATTCTGCTGACTTAAGATGAGTCTGAATACAGCTGGAAGGTGGTCTGATGGGTCTTGAGAACCCGCTCTTAGCCCAGGAAACAAGAGCCTACCAGTTATCAATACAGGTACACAGTATTCGGGATTTAAATCTTTACCTCATCATATTTTATGAAGTAAAGGATCAAGCATCGAGGCCACTCACTTTTGTCACACTGTCTAATGAAGATTTGGAGAGCAGAAGGTAACAGGAGGAGGACGCGGAGAGGTGGAGATCAGACAGGGGACCTTGAGGTAGGTGCTCTAAGTCACAGCAACAAAGAAGACACCGCTGCAGAGAAAACTCGGGGGTGGGAAAGTCCTGCCTTCCACCTCTGGTGGCTTCTGAACTCAAATCTAAACTCCTTCAGGAATGAGCAACCGTCTATCCCAGTTTATTTACTAAGTGGGTAAATAAGATGACATTATTCCAACCTCAGTTGGTACAGGAGGATGTATTTTTCTCCTCAGGGTTTCTACTGCTCTGATAAAACACCATCACCAAAAAGTAACTTGGAGGAGGAAAGAGTTTATTTCAGCTTACAGTCCACATCACAGTCCATTGCTGAAGGAAGTCAGGGCAGAAACTCAGGCAGGGCAGGAACCCGGAGGCAGAAACTGAAGCAGAAGCCATGGAGGTGTGCTGTTCCCTGGCTTGCTCAGTCTACTTTTTATAGCACCCAGGACCACTGTCCCAGGGGCAGTACCACCCACACGGTTTGACCCCTCCACAACAATCACTAATTTACAGCCCAATCTTATAGAGGCATTTCCAAGAACGCCATGTAACCCACGGGCAGAGGCTGAGACACAGAGCCTGGGTTTAAGTACATCCTAAGGAACCAACACAGGAGCTTGTTAAGGTAGATGTATCAACCACTCCAAGACTTAAGAGGACCTGCTGAACTAAGAGAGGTTAAGCGGCGTTGTTAGGGTATCTCAGTCATTGAAGGGAATAGGAATTAGCTTGTGGGCAGAAGTCCCAATCTTACAGTGGCAGTAATATCAACACTTCTGAAAATTGAATTAGAAATACTAGAAACCATTTCTACGTGATGGTTTGAGTCAGGGTCTGGTGTAGCTCAGAGTGCCCTCAAACTCACCAAGCTCAGAACAGTCTTGAGCTCCCAGCTCTCCCAAGTGCCAGGATTACAGATACCTAACACATGGACTTGGATTTTATTAACCTGAATAAATTATGAGACACAGCAACATACACCCTGGGACAAAGGATAATCACTGTTGACAATCTATCTGTAGGGACATGCTTCCTGGCAACCTAACTGTTGCCTGACATCCCCCATACTACTACCAAGCTCTCAAAGCCAACCTGGAAGAAGTCTGGGCCTTTGGCTCAGAGTCAGAGAGAGAAAATGTGTTATGTAACAAGTGTGGCATTTAAGGATGTAGAGAAATGTGGGATACACCTTGCTGGTTAGCCAGTCCTTGTTCAAGCAGGTATCTGTATAGCCTAGAGTGCTAATTCATTCTAGAGGGTGGCTAACTTTCTGCCTTCCGCCTTCTCTTCTCAGACGAGCAACTCAGCAAGCATGGATGGAGTGTCTGTCTGTATCTACCTACTGAACCACACCACCCTGGCTGGCTTTCCCACACATCTGTGCACAGGAATGCAGTAGAGGCAAGCGAGCTGAGGTCACAACAGCAGACTGATGAAAACACCCCCTCCCTTAGGCTTCCATCAGTCCAAGAAGCCTTCAAGACTGTCCATGGTGGAGCAAGGGGAAGCTGGGCAGAGGTCCTGAACCTCAGTCCACTCCTTAGTTTGGTTTCTCTACTGACTTGGCCATTTTGGGAGAGCCCCAATAGCAGCAGGTTCCAAAGACTCTGTGATTCCCACAAAGAAAGCCCACATGTCCCCAAACAGCCGAAACTACCCATTTATTTGACAGAGAACATTAAGAAGGACAACAAAATTAAACAATCTTTAATAAAATTCCTATAGAAAACTGAAGTCACAGGGCAAGTACTCAGTTGTCTTTCCCATGTCACTGAGGATTGAGGGCTCCCCATGTCTTTGGAGAAGAAGCAGTAGTTTTGCTGGATCTTGACAGTACTCAGTATGTGTGCTGCTAAGGCGAACACTCCGCCATTACTCAGGAAGAACATCCATGTACACACCAACCAGTAGTTCCTATTGCACATGTTAGCATCACATGTCACCTAGCACCCTAACTGTATGGTACCTCAACAAATAAATTAAGATTCCCATGTGGCATGAATCCACTTCAATTTCAACAAATACCATTGAAAAAAAATCACATTATTATACATTTCAATAAATATAGTAAGAACAGCTGGCGTATTACTAAAATACTGAAATTTGGGTTTGGAGTTTATTCCATAAATAGGTTCCTTTTTATTTGCTCGCTTCCTTGGATACATCTGCTCAAGTATTGTGTTCTATGAAATGAACTCTCAGAACTATGCAGAGAAACTGCATTCATATGTGCCTCAGGACTGAAGCGGATGGAAGACCTGGATCCACGGTCAACTGAAAAGTAACTTAGGAAAAGTTCTGCTTTTGGAAAACTTTAAAACACAGGCTGAAGAATACCAAAGAAACATCTTTTTATATAGAACTCCCACTAGAAATTTTATAAATATATATGCAATATATATATATATTATATTTGCCCCACAAATAGATTCTCAGCAAGTCTGGCTGGAATGATGCTATCATGATAGATAAATATTAACAAAATTAGTGAGTTTTCACAGATTTAAAATATTTCCTTTAAAAAATAATTAAATTTAACACAATCAATGTAATTTGTAGCTTACATAATTTAAAAAGGGAAGGGAGATACCTTTCTTTGAAGCCTTGTTTGGGCAATCAGAACAGCTCCAGCCCCCCCAAATGTTATGGTGAGTGGCTGGCTGAGTGGCAGCACTTGGTCACAACACTGAAAAGAAGTATTTACACTCTGGTAAAGTACCAAATACTGAAGGAAAACAATCCCAGAGTCCCTAGTAGCATTCCTCGGCGTGCAAGGTCAGCAGGAAAGGGTCCTCCATGCTGTCTGTTGGCAATGTTCAGGATGAGTCCTGGGAGCATTTGAGAAACAGGGTGGGCATCGGGATGGTTCAGATCAGGCTTTGTGGGAGGCCTCATTCTTGATTTCACTCTGCGTTTCAGGATTTCATTCCCTTTGTATTTCTGGTAGGGTCATGTTTAGTGCAAGTGCAAAATGGAAAGGAAACAAACTGACAAGTCCACTGGGAGCCAAGGCTGATGCTAAGACCTGTAGTCTTTGCGGACTGTATGAGCCATCCAGTTCACCTTGGTAGTCCAGCTTTCCCTGAGGGCCTCATCAAATTTCTGCTTAAATTGTTTGAGTGCTTCTTCTTCACTCTTTCCTAAGGCAAGAGAGTCCTAAAGATGAAAGAGAAAAATGTCTGACTTCATCCACCCTTGACAGAGACATGCAAACATAATCTATGGGGAGGTATGGCCAGTCTCCCCATCCAGACACTTTCATGTTCCCATATAAATGTCGCCTGCAGAGCAAGATGAACACCCAAGAAGAATGACCATACAGTCTTAGCAAAGGGTTTTTGAGGATGAAATTAATTTGTAATTAATGTAAGACACTAAGCTGCTTTTCTGGTCAGATGACTGAGGATCCATAACACATAAGTCAAAGGCAAACCAGTGGAAACCAGTGTTGGGCAGCTGATGACCTAGCGTGTGGGCAACAAGTCCCGGTCTAGTACCCTCCTTTGTGTGCCCTTTCTATTGTGGAGAAATTTTCTAAGTTAACAACTCCTTTAGAAACTGCTCCTTCATGTGAACCTCACAGATTACCCGCTTCTACCCTTTGGCTAAAAACCAGAGGAAATAACTTTG